AGCTAGATTGATGATGATGACAATCTTTAATGAGGAAACTTTTTCACTAAAAAGTGGTTTACAAAAAGGACCTCGAAAATTAAAAATTAAAAATTTACAATGAATAAAAATGCTAAAAGATGCTACTAAAAACTAATGTATCTTATGTGTAATACAAAACTTAAATCAATGAATTAAAAATCTTACGCTTCAAAATATTTACATTATCAGCGGCTCGTATAGTTTTGTCCAGCGAGTTAAAATCACTTACAGCATGATAGCCAGTTCTTTGTTTGCCCCAGTTTCTTTTAACGGATGGAATTTTGAGGTTTGCTTTATTTCTTGTGTTGTAACTATGCTGTTCTTGCTGAGTGACTAATGTTAGTTCGTGATGCGTGAGACTATTAAGACATTTATATACATGTACGCATCGGCGCTGGAAGCGCCTTTTTTCTAGTGTTAACCACTTCAGTGTAGTTAACGCATCAGACGCAGAGGAATACAGTGGTCGATCTAATATTATTTTAGCCGCCTTATTTTGAAGCACTTGCAAACTAGACATTAAAGTTACATTATGTTTGTCTCCCCAAACTAAATCAGCATACTCGAATAAGGGCATAACAAGGCTTTTATAAAAAAGGATGCGCGCCTTAAACGGTAACAAATGCTTAATGCGTCTAAGTAGGCCAAGCCTTTGATTAACTTTCCCTGCCATGTATTCGACATGATTTGTCCACGAAAAATCAGACGATATTAAGATTCCAAGATATTTAAAACAAGTAACATTGTTTATACAATGATCAAAAATTGAAACAGTTAGAGCTATTTTCCTCTGTAACTTCTTGTTACTGCCTATGAGCATGCATTTGGTTTTGTCCAGATTCAGTGTTAACTTATGTTCATTCAGCCATTTCGCCACAGCCAGGAGGTCTTGGTTGAGCTTTTCAGTCAGCTCCTGAGAGGAAGACCCATAGCAGTAGATCACCGTGTCATCTGCATAAAGTGATGCTTGACAGGCATCTAGAACGCTTGGCAAATCGTTAATGTAGATGACAAATAGCAGAGGACCCAGAATACTTCCCTGAGGGACCCCATGGGTAACTGGCAATTCATCAGACAACTCATTCCCACAACATGTACGCTGTTTCCTGTCAGTAATGTAAGAGCGGAACCACTGAAGCGAGTTCTCACATAAACCAATGCTGTAGGTCGTAGAGTAAAGACGTGCCGTCCTTTGTGCTAAGTAGAACGTTGCGCTCTAAAAGGAAGAAGACACTGGACCTGTAAAGGAGGGCAATGAAATCAATCTTATATCAATAATGAACTACAGGTGAGCTTTGCCTTCTGAGATAACGCCTCAAGCTTCTACACGAGTCGTATTATCTCAGCTCAACGACGTAACACGAATCGATTGCTCGGTCTGAGCGGCTCTTCACTGACTCGAAATTCGATTGAATTAGGGTGTTGAATTCGAGAAAAATAGAGCTAGTGATTGTAAGATATTTTGAGCGAAACGCTGAAATAAAAATGTTTTGCCTGCTAAATCTATCAGAGACCACGTGGCGAGGTGTGATGACTCTTCTACCCAGCAGCCTTTGCTCTGGTGAAAGTATCATTTTTAAAAAGTTTCGGGTGGTTTCCCTTTAATTGTGCTAAAGTGCAAAAAAACTACATATAATTTTTTATTTTTCAGTTTTCGTCCTCATGGAAGGGAGCATTCATATTTCCTACTTTCAGGAAGAGCAATTTGTCAGAATTTGTCGCTCTTTCATTAGTTTTCTCAAACTCATTAATTATTCATGCAGCTCCTACCCAACCAGAGCATCTTATTCTGGTCAGGTGGATGGATTTAGAAACCCAATGAAAAACGAGTTGAAAACACGGCCGTGTTTGAAACGATTTCAAACACGGATGCAAAGTTTCTTAATATGCATATTGATAAAGCAAGAAAAACACGTGGCGATAAACAACTTTATTGACAACAAATGATAATTTCAGATAATGTTCTCTATGGAGACATTTACAACAAGTTTAGTTATTTAGTGACATTGAAAGTCACACTGCAGTTATTGAAGTCCCCAAATGATAAGAAAGAAGAACTTGCGTTTTCTAAATTACAATTCAACTCTTTTTCCTTATTTTAATTACAACGGTCTCTTANCTCTGAAAGCTTCCAAAGTTGATGTTGGTTTCTGTAGTATTAACCAGGAAACAAGCAGTAGAGCGACTCTCTGGTTAGGAAGTTGGTGTACAGTAGGTTACCATTTAGTATTTTTTACAGTTTCCTGATGATATGAATAGAAACAATTACTGTCCGCCTCGCCTTCTGTATGAAAGATGGGAGTCGATCCTCTGGTGCCAAAAAACTGGAGTCTACGTTATTAAGTTTCTACGTTTCTTGGGGGAGTTGGAGGATGATGGGAAGAGAAAGTGTGTTTAAAACACTCGAGGTCAATACAATATTATCATAAAAACTTATTTAAAATATGTACAATTATGAAAGGAGAAATAAGAAAATAAGCGATCAGTACTCTAACAGTAAAGTAAGAATTTCTCGCGTTGCCACTGAAGTCACGTTCAAGAAGATCTGTCATGGCGCCTTCCACTGAGGATTTGTCCTACACTGTGCTATGTGCATTATGCTCTTCCTTCTTTCATTTGACCATGTGGATTGAATTAACAAAGGCCACAACGCCGAAAAGATGAACACTGCATTACTTTCCAAATGTATCTTTCCATAGATTATTCACCTGAAGAGATGGCGTGACAAATTGGAAAGCACGAGTCCTCGACACGGTATCTGAACCGCGTAGTCCAGCACAAGAAACACTCCCCGACCTAGAGAACAGACAGTATCAAGGTTTTTCGGGTAGAAATAACGTGTTTCTTGACTGCATAGAAGCGAAAAAAGATGCTTCAATTTCTTGTAGTTCGTTAGCTCTCTCCACGTACAAGACTTCGCGAAATATGAACATTAATTTTGAAAATTATTTGTAATTCAAATGAGTTTTCTGACTTCGAAAGGCGGGTCACATTAATGGACACCGAGTTCTTCGGTCTGATCCCTTTAATTATAAAACTAAGTAGAATGCCTCGCCTTAGACAGATTTTCAATTACAGTAAAGAAGTTTAAAAGAGAGCTGCAACTGAATAACGGTGTTGTAATTTCAGAAGTATCAAACGGAACTTAAATGAGCTTGTTTGAAAAGCATTTTTATGGCTACTGCCTCCTATGAAGGTGAAGCCATAATCTTGTCCTGTTGAGTGAGTAATTGTAACAACAGAATACGAACGACCTCCCAGCCCACAACGAAGTCTGCCGAGTTTTACCCGATATTCCTCGCTCTTGGCTTTTGTTTGTTTCGTTTCGTTCAACGCTTGGTATCTACTATGCCTAGTAGATCCAAAGATGAAATTTTTTCAGTTTTTGCTGTGACACTAAAATAGATGATCAACATCTCGAAAAAATTTCACAGTTGCGTCTCCGGCACGTAATTGAAAACGAGACATCCTTGGAGCAATACCTAGATAAGCAGTGCACATCGTGGACACTTATATTAAATAAATTAATTATTCGAAGAGAGAACATTTTACCATTTCAATCAGCGACTGATGGCCAAAAGAGCCGCTAAAGTTGCGAAGCGAGCAAGGTCTGAAATACCTCTAACAAGATGAATCTATTTGACGAAATGATAGAACTGTGTGGCCGATTTTAGACACTAGTTACCAATTTTTTATTTTACACTGACTGGTGGACGATTTGCGATTTTGGACACTTGTGACCGATTTCGGCTTTGTACTCTAGAGACCGAGTTTGCATACTAGTGGTCTACAACGCCGAATGCGCTGTTGTGTGAAAGGAAAGTTTCACAAAAATGGAACTGTAATTAACAGAAAAAAAAAATTAAAATTAGAAGAATCCTAGTTTAATTATCATTGGAACCTAAACGATGGACTGATAGAGAGAGACTGAGGTTTATCTTCCTCTTGTGGAACAGGGTATTCATAAATATGCGGGATGCGGCAGAAGTGACCATATGTAGTCTGAACCGCCTTTTTTTTTTTAGTAAAGTGAGGGAGGGGGGGGAGGGGGGAGAGAAGGGGAAGAGAGAGATAATCGGGTAAACGCGCTGATTAATACTAAAACTTTACATAAAACTGTATACTTTGGGGAAAATGTTCACTTTTTGCTTTGGGTGAAGTGGCATTAGGCGTTTCCTGATGACGTCATCAGTGGGCATATACTCACTTTTTACATTAGCTTCCAAAGCTAATCCAATAACAGCGAAATAACGTCGAGTTACTGCCAACTAAATTCTTCCTAACAAAGGCCTGAATAGATGGTGGTAAGGGCCATTAAACTGCACTCAAATATTATGTTCTACAAGCCTTGTTAAAAAATGCAAGAGAAGTAGCGAGGTTTACCCTTTATCCAGATGGTAAAGTGTTCATTCGGTATCCTGCCTTCATCCTGCGCCTGATCTATTCCTAGTCGATCAATGAACAGATGTATCTGATCAAACAACCATCTATCATTAGGATAGTTGTTATCCTCTGTTTCAAGACTTTGGAGCTATTTTTTTCAGTTGAATATTCTCACGCTCATAGAAGGTCTACAAAATGTGTTTTGATCAAGTATGGAGCCTAAGCGAAGGAAAACCCACACTCATACTTTTGGTGTCCAACCTCACACGACAGAAGTTATTTTAAATTATGTTAACCCCTCCATGTGTGAGGGATCAACATGACATAGCTTCCAACACATTTTCAGGATTTTGAGGGTAAAAAAATTCTGGTAAGTCAGAAATTCAAAAATGGGACGATTTGCAGTTAAAAAATTGTTACTGTGTTACCAAAAGTGACTAAGATGGGGTACATAATAAGCCAAAGAATAGACCCTAATGGGGTAGCCAGGAAGTTCTGAGGGGCCAGTGGCACATATCCAGCAAAAATTGAACCAAGTACCCCCTACACCACCTTCTTTCCCCTCCCCTCCCCCCGGTTGTCAACCAGAGAAAGTGTGTAGGTTGCTAAGCTGAATCCAAATATAAAATGAATAAGAATTAAATGTTTTGGCTCATGTGCTTTGGTTAATAATGACATCCTCTTAGAATCACCGTTTGAAAAACATTTTTCAGCATCCACACAAAAGGTTGTAATTGTAAGAAAATGAATTCACACAAAACAGGGAACTTAAAAATTGTCTCTTCCTGTGACCCTATGACTTTTTAAATCAATTTGCAACTAATAGGGATTATATTATTGTTCTTCTCAAGTTCACAATCTAGCTAGTTTCTTCAATTTGTAATCAATTTGGATTGTGTCTTAAGTTGTCTTTAATCCTTCATGCCCATAACTCACTATCCATATTCTCCATTCAGTTCCTGACACATTTCCTTTCGTGTTAACAAGGAGCATTCATTTAACAATTAAAGCTTCTTAGGTTGGTGAACATTTCCTTTATTCTCATGATCAATCAATTGTAGTAATACTTCTGATTCAATCATTAATGATTGAATCAGAAGTATTACTGTAAGGAGTGTGAATTAAATGCTGGTTACTCTTGGGGTTGAAAAGGGCATCGCTTATCCCTTTCCTGTGGAGGGAAAAAGCAGGAGAATCAAACTTGGAAAGAGGTAGAGGGATGGAATAGGGGAAGGAGGGAAGTTGCAAGCTCCTTGATTTCAAATTTTGATCCCTGATTTTGATTTGTTAGGTTTTCATTTCCTTTAGGATGGCAGCTTGGTTTCTTGTTTTTTAAGGGAGTTTTGATTCACATCTATACACTACTTACTACTAAGAAAAACATGTAATGAGAAAATATATTTAAAAAGATGAGGGAAGGAAGTTATGCTCACCAGGAACCCAATACACCCAGCTGCATGTGCCAAAAAAAAAAAGACAGCTGAAAGAGGAAGTGAGAAAAATCATAGTACATGGGTTTCGGCCAGTGTTGCATGTATTTGAATGATTGAAATAATCACCTTTTCAGAAGACATTGCATAGGAATATTCTGAAAATTTCAGTGATCCGTAAAATGAAAAATATCCTAAAACTTCCAGAAATTTTTTTTTAAATAAATCCTGTTAGTCTTCCACAAATGTCTGAGGCATTTTACAATGTGCATAACTTCCGTAGAAGGTCACGATTATGGCGATGACGTAATGTAAACAGAAACTGAATAATACCGAACTTGACCTTCGAAGCATGTAATTTGTGCCGAAGCGTTAAATTTAGATCTCATTGTTCATTCTTTAAACGCATGAACACAACGATGTTGCAGATATCCAGAGCATAAACCAAACGTTGAATGCTACAGACGTCCAGTCACAAATAATTCTTTGAAAAATTTATTTTTATATAATATTTCTCTCTCTTATACATTAATGGAAAGAATTCTGTTATTTACACAATCGTTATCAAACCTCGGCAGCTTGCCAAGACATATTCCACCAATTTGTACACATTCAGCAAATCTTTGACAATTTTCGCCTACGACAGATGGGTAAAAAATACCATAAGCGAAGTCAACTGAGTTAATGCTATAAAAACGTTCACAGCTTTGAGAAAATACTTTCCAAAGGGAAAGGCATGCAAACTTACTGAACTCTTACAAAACGGTCAGAATACAAATTAGCGACTTTCAACCCTTAATACTAGAAAAATATAACGCATCAGACAGAGGAGAGCATCTGATCATATGAACTACTATTGCTTTTACTTTAGTAGAAAAGGTCAAACATTCATAGATCGCTATCACAAAAGCCATTACGTAAGATATAAATGAGTTGACTTCATCATAACCAAAACATTTGCGCGAGCATGGCTACAAACGGTCGCCCGTAGTTGCAGAGCAGCAATAAACAAAGGCAAATATGTAGAAACAAGAAAAATGCGAAACTATTGAATGAAAACAGATCTAAAACGCTTCAACGATGGTCTGCGACCAGCCGAATACACCGCCGACTGGTTGGACACGGGGGGACAGATATTGAAAGGAGTCCAATTTTGACCCAAGCGAAGGAGTCGCTCTAGGAATACTAGATAGTCCAGAAAAACTACTACTGAACACATTAACAAGTCCTGATATGTCCATAGGTTCTTGATAAGAGAGTTCCGTTTTTGGCTGTTCATTCCTTTCAGTTTTCAAACGTTTGTTGTCAACCGCGTGGCTGTCACAAGGTTCATTAACATACGCTGAAGATCGCGGCCGTTTCGAACCTGAGACACACTTTAGTTCAGGTTTCATAGCTTTATCACATTCTTTACCGCCTTTTAAGGCATTAGCAGAGTTCACAAGCTCCACGCTTTCCTTCCTGTCGATGCTAAGCATACTATGTTCCATTTCCGAGACTTTACCATTTGATTTTGCCGCGGAACGTACTGTATGTCTCGCATTTCCTGCGTCGGGTCCACCTGGGTTATTGGGCGTCATTTTCGATTTTTCAAAAGGTACAAGCTCGTTCTCAACAGCATCTATGTCCATGTCTATCTCCACTTTGGATCTGTACGTACAATAAGCTGAGTCTGTCGACGTTAACACGTTGTTTAAGACGTGGGAAACTAATAAATTACGTCGTAGTACAGGACCGCCACGCCGACGGCGAGAGTCCGTTATTTTCGACAGAGATACTTGAAGAATCCTTGTTGCTTCGCAATCCATGTTCACAAAGAAGTGTTCAACAGTATGATACAATCGACAAGTCTGTTTGGAATCGAATAGATGAGTTACCTTGCCGGTTAAATTTAAATTTGTCAACGACGAAACTTCCACACGACACAGTCGATTGAAGTTTCGTGAATGAATAGACGTTGAAGAGCGTCACGATTGTGAAATCGAGATCGTTCGGACGAAGTCGACCAATCAGCGTTGATTACGTCATGGGTCGTTATGTATTAGAATAAACGTGTCGCAAAGTAGCAACCAATCAGAACGCGTCAAACAGAAGCCTGACGTTCATCGATGCTATATTTAGTGATATTTTGTTCCGTTGCTAAGGGTGAGGCACCTTTTGGCGGGAGATGGCATTCGATGAATATTGATGTATTCGACCGGAAATTACTGTAAAACGGAAAACGTGAAATGAAAGACGTCAGCGATTTTAGCGTTTGCTAGCAACAAGGGACTTAAACTTTTATTTAAGCTTTCTTCATGAAATGGCCCAGCTCAACCTGGTGTATTCTACAGGGAATGGTTATCAATATTTAGAAACGACTCTCCGATCAAAAACAGTGGATTGCATCAAACTTATGAATCATTGAGGTGACATTAGATCCTTTCGTGTCAGCTGTACGTGTTTTGCCTACCACACGATAAATTGAACCAGGTGCTAATCAGCATTGATCAACCGAATTATTTTCCCCGCATCGATGACTTCACCATCGGCCGGCCAATCCACATTACGAATATGATCTATTTAGAGCCAGTCAAGGCAGTAAAGTTACTGACTGATACTTGAAATAGGAAATTCGCAGTGAACATCCAATATCGAAATCAAGGACGGAAGGTGTAAATGACCAAAGCAAAACAGAACAAAGTCACAACAAAAAAAACAAAAAAAAAACAAAAAAAAGTGTACAGACAGGCATGTGAGGAGGCACGTCAACTATATGTTTGCGAGTGTCATTGGATCCATATTCCCGAAAACAATTTGGACGAAACAGAAGTTGCGTTGAAATTAAAAAAAAAAAATGAAATAAAAAAACAAACAAACAAACATACAAAAAGCAGAACTTCGGCCTACTTCGTCAGGTACCCGAGAGCTATCGAAGGAAAGATAACATTCTAACCGTTAATTATGATCTGGTTATAAGACTAGTAAAGAATAATTGAATTTGTTGGTTTAGAATATTGTAGTAGTAGATTAAACTCTGACGTCACAATTGATTGCGTGGCCTTCGTGCGATTCTGGTCCTGGCAGGTCACAGCCATCGTATTCACTAATGTTACCTGCGATTATACTCCCCCTTTTATAAATATTGTATGTTTTTGTTTTGTCATTTATTTTGAAGTGTTGTGGCTTGTATCGTTTACTTGCGCAAGTCTTACGTGACCTCCTTTGCGTGACTGACGGGTTTCGAGTTTAACTATAAGAGAGTAGATATTTTCCTGTAATTCGGCCGTGGTCGGTTCCATAAAAACAATTACTCGTTTTGATTTGATTGTAGGTGTGATAGTCTCCAAAGGTGCTCTTGAAGAACTCCGGGAACTGATACATCAAGGATTTCTCCCTGAAGTCTCCTCTGTCGTTCCATTCTCTCACAGCGGAGGGGGAAATGTTCTTTCGATTTCCCTTTCTTTATTTTTAGCAGTTTCAACCAGAGTTTCCAGAGGTCCCTGGTTTTTACCCTTTCTTTTTTTTTAAAAAACTGAGTTGCGAATGTGAATTGGTCTCCGTTAAGAGATTCTAAAGCCAACGTTTCGATCGTCAACCCTTCGACAGAGCGATTGGAGTCATTCCAATGGGACCGTAACCGTCCGAACACGAGAAGGATGTGCCCGAAATGGGAAGGAACCATCCGAAGACGTTCGTAAGTATACGAAATCGGAAGTAACCGTCTGAAATTAACGTGTCCGAAAATGGCGCACCCGTCCTAGAACGGATCAAGTTGTATGAAATCGGAATGAACTGTCTGAAAATGGGCGAAAAAGTGCTTTACACGATGGAACCGTACTAAAACGGACGCAAATTCAAATTCGAATGTATTCGAATGAATGGATTTCAGGAAGAGAGATTTAATTATTTCTATATTATTCCCCACCTATAAATATCCTATATTAAAATACAATTAAACTAAAATGTGCTATAAACAACACAGAAGCTGTGCATACTGAGGTTGATTTACAGCACTGTTTGCAGTCAACTGATAGCAAATCGAGATATCACAAAAGTAAGGACTCTGACAACTCTGGTAGGCGCAATGAATTCAACACTGTCATGATGTAGAAATCCTTCGATTCCAAAAACCAACCGCATACAGGGAAAAAGCGATTTTCACAGTTTTACTTTTTATCTTTAAAAGCCCAAAATGATGTTGGCTTATTGTTGACTTCTCGATAGCGAGTCACAAACGAAGTGAAGCTTGACACACAGTTGCCTATAAAGTGATTTGACATAGTAAGGATTGCCAAGTCCAGGATCGGATCATTAACTTCATCTGAAGGGTCCCTCCTATGTACAGACACCTAAAAAAAAAATAATAACAACAACAACATATTCCAAATTTTCTATCACGAAAAGCCCTGTCTAAAGCTGACATTTCAATATACAGCTAAGACCCTGGAAGAACTCAGAGAGAAACAGTTTTATATAACAACGGCAAGGATGAACAAGCAGGTTTAGGAGTTCGATAAGCGGTAAAGGTACCACAGACAAAATAAAAAAATTCTTAGAACTTTCCCACTCCCTTCATTAGGTAAAAAAATTGGTGTCCTGTAGAAGTGATATTAGATGAGGCGTGCCCATACAAGACTTTGTGTAACCTTTCGAAGGTTTCTTCTAATGTCTATCACTACTCCTTTCCCCTTGAATCGATTTTTAGCTCCCCCCCCC